GGGAAAAAGACGCGAAGTATGAAGACGTGGTTTAGTGGTGCAACGAAGTGGAGCGATGTTTGGGTTTAGAGGGGCTGTAACGTCACACTGTTTCAGACAATTAGAAGAAAGTGATGATTGAAAAACCTTGGAAATTTCAAACGTTGCTGGAAGACACGCAAATGAATATGGCGAAAATTAAAATTAATTCCGCCATATTGGGGGGTAATTGTTGACACACAAAACAGGCAGCCCAAATCAAATGGCCCAAGAGATAAAATGGCCCAAAAGAAGAAGCCCATATAGAGAGATCAGGGCAAAAGCCCAACCAGAAATATCATTAAATATGATGAAAGCCCAAAACGCGCGAAACAATACTCAATTGAACAATTAATAAGCAGTGAAGCACTTGGCTTCCTTATTTGGAACAGAAAAGGTTGCCTGTTTTATTTTCAAGATCGTCGAGTGCCGCTACAGCGACCGCTGCTCCCGCTTCCACAATGGCCGTACAATATCACTAACATTTGTCCTCGCCAATATGTACTACCTTCCAAACATGATAACCCTCGGTGTCGATCCCTAAGGTCAGCCTATCGAACCCAAGAAGATCCTTCTAATTGTCCATCTCAAATCTCAATTTCTTTGCTTTTTCATTTGATTATTCTAATTGTGTTTTGGATTTTATAGTAAGTTACAATCTCAACTTCTTTGTGCAGGATGTTTAGGGGAAGAAAGAGAGTCAGATGGTGGTGGACATGATTTTTTTAGGAAAGAAGGGGAGTCGGGTGGTGGTGGCTGTTGTAGGCGACGACAGGCGATGGTTGTAGACTGATTTTCGGGAGGAAGGAGAGTCGGGTGGATGGTGGCTGTTGTGGGCTGCGACGGACAATGGTGGTAGCTATTGTCGGCGGCGGCGACAGACAGTAGTAGTGAACTGATTTTGAAGAGAAATGAGTGCTAAGTGGTGGTGGCTGTTGTAGGGGGCGATGGGAAGTTGTGGTGGACTACTTTTGGGAAAGGAGAGTTGGTGGTGGTGGATATGATTTTTTAAATTTATTTATAATTTTTTTTAACTTATTTGATGTAAGGAAAATGAAAAGTTACTATTTTACCCTTTTTAATTAGGTTAAAATTGATTAACTTTTAACTTTTCTGGTCAACTAATAGTCCCATGTTGACTCCAAGTGAATATTTTTGAAAGGTTTGAGATTATGGGTGACACAAAGTGAATGTTAAAGTAAAATTTATGAAAAAGTGAAAGGTTAGGGATCGCTGTTGCAATTTTTCCTAAAAATTATTATATTGTGAGAGCTTTCTCCAACTTCGACTCAAATGGTAGTTGTACACGAATCAACCTTTTGGCGATGACGTATTATTATTCTTGCTCAATTCTGTCTACATTAGATCACATATCTTATTTGAAAGAAAAGTTATAAATCCATCGTCCATGCATCACTAGGAAGATTGCAATTCATGTAATTTTAAATTATTTGATATATTTTATTTTCCTTCAATAACTCAGACGAGTTCGTCAAAATTTGAAATATCATTCAAAAAACATAATTAAAGAGGGATTTGTCGTCTAGAGCCATCCATATTTTGATGAATAATGATATTGAACACTGTTTTAGGTGTCAGTATATCATATAGGTCCTAATAAATGAGTCATAAATTCTTGTATTTAATTAAACATATAATTTAATAACATAAGTATTGTCAATGTTAAATATAATTAGTTCTAAATATGCATTTTGAAATAATCGATTGATAGATAATGTGTAGTTAAAAAATAAAGAAAATATTTGAATTTGCGTGTAATATTATTTTATTGAAAAATGCATGATTAAAAAGAAGAGAGAGACAAATGCATTTTGAAAAAAATGGGTATCAAACAAGGGCTTAAATTAGGATTGAGGGTCTATTTGGCAAGATTTTTTATTTTGCTTTTTTTTTTCTTATAGATTTTTTTTTTTGATAATGCGACCTTATGCTAATTTTCTTTAAAAGTTCTTCTAATCAGATAAAATAATTCTAGTAATTACTTAAATATGTTCAAAGCAATTTCCTAGCCCCTATTTGGTCTACATTAATATTTTCATTTTCATTCTTCTACTTATTTTCAATCATACATTTTTCAACAAAATAATATTTTCCATCACATCAATAACTTTTTCTTCTTTTTCAACCACATATTCCCCATCTATCACATCAACAAAATGCATTATTCTAACGAAAATGTGCACCAAACAGGGCCTTAGGGCTGTTTTGCAAGGTTTTTTTTGAAAAATCAAAAACTGTTTTCGAGATTAAACTAAGATCTACAAAATTGGAAATTCCTTCTCGGGTATGATTTTTTGTCTATTGCTTTAATTTTTGAGTAAATTATTTCTAGAAGATATTCGTGGCCATATGATCTTCAAGGATATATGCATAGATAGCCTAAATACAAAGCCATATTTCAAAAATGGCCTTTGACTTTTCTAAAAAATTGGAATTACCTATGAAGAAAATATGTATAATTTAATTAAAGAAGAAATAAATAGGTTTGAATTACAATTAATAAAACAGATTGGTATTATATATTAGAAAATAATCAAGGAAACTATATCATAGACAATTGCGCTACTCGTCCAGGCACATGCAAACCGACTTAAAAACAGGG